TATTTTTAGTTCCATTCAATATCTTTTAGTTCTATTCAATATCTTATAGTTCTATTCAATATCTTATAGTTCTATTCAATATCTTATAGTTCTAATTAATATCTTATAGTTCTATTCAATATTTTATAGTTCTATTCAATATCTTATAGTTCTATTTAATATTTTTTGTAAGGGTGGAGGTTGGGAGTTTAATTTGTATAAATATTAGGGAGGCTTCATTTCAGTTCATTTCTACTTTAAGAAATTTAAGGGTAACTGCCTTCCTACATCTGGCTATAGACAGTGAAAGCACTCAGCTTAGTACAACTATTTGATTGATTTTTTCCCATGACGGTTGACTAGATTGACATCGGCGTATGGATATTGTCTGATAGATGGGATATCCCCAACGCATTTGAGTGCTATTACCACAGACATTACCCGTTATGACAATAGGTTGACAACCAGGACCGATAACGATATTGCGATATTTAATTCATTATTATTTTATAGTGCTACAAACAATTAATTAACACTAGCATTCCATCCATACCTTATCTACGTTATTGGAATGATAGAAAACGTGCCCTATTGAAAATCAATTACTAGAATCACTAGCTGCGTAATCTTGTTTAAATTTATTTTAGGTCTATATTATAGATTAACTTACTTCGTATGGCCCATTCCTTTAAGCGTCGAATCCCAGTTAAGAATTTAAACCCACTTCCAAGACATGCAGAAGTAACGTTTATATCGGATCCAGATCTGATAATAAGAGGTAGGAGACGGCGGATGATATTTCTGGTTGAGTCTTTAATTATTTTCTCGGTTTTCTTCCATTGTTTCTGTACGGCAGATTCACGAGTTGACGTTTCCATTCCTTTACTCGTAGAGGCCGGAACGTTTGTCGTTTCGTCTTTTGCAGTTGTTAAAGGAAACGAAACACGTTTCACTTTCTCAGATATGGCGACGGTTCTTCCTTCGTCAGTCGAGGAAATGGGACTCCTCTCAGTTGTGGAAATGGGGACACTATAAGCTTCTTCTCCTTCAGTCGAATACATCGAAATGTCAGCAAAACTGCTTACTTTCTCAGTTGTGGAAATGGGGACACTATTAGTTCTCATTCCTTCAGTCGAATACATCGAAATGTCAGCAAAACTGCTTACTTTCTCAGTTGTGGAAATGGGGACACTATTAGTTCTCATTCCTTCAGTCGAATACATCGAAATGTCAGCAAAACTGCTTACTTTCTCAGTTGTGGAAATGGGGACACTATTAGTTCTCATTCCTTCGGTTGAAAAAGACAAACCACGAGAAAACGTTTTCACTTTCTCCGTTGTGAAAACCGAACTACGAGTTTCTTGTTTTTCATTCAACGTTTGATTGTGGTCAACTATCGTGAACCGAAATTCATCATCTTCTACGGTCACTTTAATTAAAGAAAGAAGAAGAAAGTACAAAATTATCGATAGATATGTGGCTCTCATTTCTTTCCTATCTTTGTTCCGGAACGACGAAGAAAACTTCACGTCATAACTACTTGATTCGCTTGTTACAAACAACTCGGGTCCTAAACCTGTTCTGGAGCCACACGTTGATCCTCAAGGCCAAATGTAGTCACCCTACTCATTTCCGACCTTGGTGTAAAGCTCATAAAAATTGCGTAATTTGGAACATGCAACAATGTTTTAAAATTTGTAAATACAGGTCAACCATATTCATACGTCATTCATGCGTAATTAAAGCTCCATCAATGATCTAGGCTAAGCAAAAACTTTATATTTCAAACATGTTAATCAAGCTATTTCGCCATTTGTTGCATAATCCGACGTCCATTTCTTTCAGATTATATAGAGTGTGTTAATACAGTCTAAGGAATTTACAACGCTAATATCAGTCTGCGGGCTTATTTCGCTAAGAAAAACGTGTTTAGGCACTCGCGATGGACACAGCACGGATAGCCAATTGTGTAGCTTTGTGTTTAATATCAAACAAACAACCACACAAACATTTATTACCGAAAACATCAACAACATGGCATTATTATGCATCATTTCTAATTCTCCTTTTTTTTTAACAAGACATTAAAAATAGATAAATTAATCCAATGAAAACAATGTTGAAACATCAGTATTTTCTTATTTTATCCTGGTTTGTGTTATTTAAACGTTTCTCAGAGAAGAAAAAGAGGTCAGCATTCTTAGGTTAACAACAACCATAATATTTGCTCATGAAGGATCCGTACATTTGTTTGCGTATTGTTGTTGTTGTTGTTTTTCTGAAATAGAGGATATTAGTAAAATACCGACTTATTTCTACATAGAAGTTACTGTTTTGGCTAGAACTCAAATTATTAGTGGTTTCTTTGACATAGTTTTAAGTAGCACATATTGGTTACACTGAACCATATAGAGTATGAGCTGTCAAAAGCCATTACAACAACTTACTCAACTTCCTTGAACTTTAGAAATGAACACACAGAGAGACGAAAGCGACGTGTCGAAATCGTCTTTTATATTTAGAAAAAAACGCCAAAAAATACCGAAAATGTGACCTAAATATCTGATAATAACATATTTAATTATTTTTTATTGCAAGAGAAACTTACAGGCAAAGATATTTTACGCTGTTTCTGTAGTGAAACTAACGTCAGA